CTTCGTATCCGAGTCTCGAAGTCAGTGGCGGCATTCGGGAAGCCTAAGTACCAATCAACAACAATCATCATCAGCAACAATCATCAGCTTACTGTTGGCACGAAGCTGATGGTCTACAAATCCATGGTGCTGTCCGTTCTTCTATACGTCACCGTATCGCGGACGATGTACCGGCGGGATGTGCGTTATCTCGAGCGGTTCCATCAACAGTGTCTGCGACGGATTCTGCGAATCGGTTGGTGCGACAAAGTTGCAGACGCGGAAGTGTTACGCCGAAGTGGAATGTATGCAGTGGACTGCATACTTTTGCTGAGACACCTGAGGTGGCTCGGTCAAGTGTGGCGTATGGATTCGACGCGGATACCGAAGCAGATATTATATGGTCAGCTGAGGGTTGGGAAGCGGCATGTGGGGGAACCGAAGCTTCGTTAGCAGGACATGATCAAAGTGAGCCTCTCACATTGTAATGTTGATTGCGGGTCATGGGAATCGAAGGCGGTTGATCAGCGTGCATGGCGCGATCTGATCACGAAGGCAGTTGCCGAGGTGCAAGAGGAAGCCCTCATACATGCGGAGAGGAACCGGCAAGTGCGGAAGCGACTGGCGTCTAGGGGTTGCCCTCCATCGACATCAAGCGCCTGGTGCTGTAGAACATGCGGTTGCGAGTGCCTGAGTCATGCAGGCCTGGTGAGCTACGAGCGACGCCACTCGGGACAACCACCGAAGCGACGACAGGTACTACAGAGAACGTAGGCAGAAGGGGCGCAGCGTTGGTAAGTACGCTGCGTTCGATTTACTAACCGCGTGCTTGCATGCTGACTTTTTCTTTCAGGTGGTGGGTTTGCTATATTGTCCTAACGCTTTTTCTATCCCATGTTTATGTCTACCTGAACAAGCTTCAATTAACTTGTACAGTCGCTTAATCTTTTGTACTTAACTTTCATAACATTTTTATTTTTGTGACATTTTCTTTATATATGTTTTCTGATGTCTTGTACCTGTCGCCGATTTGTTGTCAAGCAATTTATTTCATATGCCCATTTATCAAATTATGTTAGCAAATCTGTGGGCATTGTTCGGTTTATTTTGTTTAATGTCGTCTTTTCAAGTAATTGCTGTTGGTTGCTATCCTTGATGTGTCTGTGCTGGTTGTGCATGTTGACAAGGTGCCTACCAACTAACTCGTCTATACTGGCTCCAGAAGATAGTTGATCGTTGCTGGAGGGGACGGGATGCACGGTCCTTGTGGCCGTGCTAGGCTCGAAGGATGGTTCCACGCACACGGTTCGTGTGTGGAACACACCACGGTCTAGCCACCGTCTTGTGTGCGCTTGGTTCCCCAACTCCAGCGTGCTTGTGTTTGTCTGTGAAGGAGTGTGGGCCGGCTCCGTTGATGAAACGCGGCTCCCATCCACATGCTTCCCAGACTTATTCCCTCGGGTTTACACTGGATATGGGGTGGGTGGTTGCAACTGTGGTTGGTGTAACGCAAGCCACCCATGGTCCCTTTGTAGGCGCCGCGTCCTGTGACTGTCCTATGGAAGCCATTGTGACTGGCGAAACCGTATGCCCCCTCTAACCACGTACAGGCAACGCTACGCACAACGATTAACTTCTGATTGAAGGGTCATTTTGATGTACGCGTCTTGTGATTGAATTACGATGCGCGATCTTACCGTGGACCGTGATTCACATTGAAGTGAACTGTGGCAGATTGACTTCCCCCAGCCCTCTTCAATTCCACGGGGCCTACTCTTGCTGATATGGCCAAAGCGAACCTCACCGACGTTTGTGTTGTGTTTCTTTGTCCGTCCTTCTCTTTAGATCTCCCTCCAATTACGATCTAGTACCCAATGTTTTATACGATATCTAACCTTATATTACTTGCTTCTTGAACTTTTTGTAGTCTATAATTTTAGTGTCTTATTGCGATACCTTGGTTGAGGTGTGTTTCTCGCCTTCTGCTGATGTGTATTAATGCTAGTGATGTTGAACTGCTGTCATTCGATCAAAACGATCGTAGCTGTAGCAGTTGGAGATTGGGGGTAGCACGCCCGAAAGCACTGCACTCTACTGCTGGTTTCGTACCTGTTGGCTCTCATTGGGTATAGAAAGCAGGCACTCGAATCCGTTACCATTGGGATGACGGCCGCAGTCTCTACTCCTATGCCACTGAGTCTTGGCGGGCAACACTTGGCACAACGGCTAGTGACTGGAGGGTCATTTTGGAGCACTGAATGAATTTCGACACGTGATCTGCGTCAGAACCGCGATTCACTTGGAGGTGAACTTGGTCGGTTCGGTCACTGGGACCCTATCTAAAGGTCTTTGATGGCAGAAGGAATGCATTCGACTCCTTCTCCTCTCTATTTTCTCCCGTGAACACCTTTTTGTTTTTTGCATTCACACTATCGGTTGATAGCTGCACTGCTCAACTATTTCCTAATCACTACCTACTGATTGAAGAGGTTTTTCCAACATACTCCTCACTCCATCTGTTCGTCTGCGTAGTTTTCGTTTGGTCCTTGATTGCTAGGCCTCATCGCTCCATATTTCAGTCTCACGCAGGTATACCATTGTGAGGTTCGGAGTGTGACTAATTTCATTAAATATTACTAATTACTCAGCGGAACCTGCGATCTTTCTCTGTTTTTCGTTGGAATGTGACGCGTCAGTGTACCACACGACTAGCTAACATTAACACCACTTGTAGTGGGTTCTCGTGGTGTAACGTTTACCGTGCTGGGCCTTCCTGCGAACAACATAGGATCCTGAAATTCTGATGCTTTTTACTATCCCATACGTAGGTCACAACAGCACGATTATATCGCAACGCTAGTCTTGTCGATATATATTACGAGTATGTAACCCTCACCCATACCCAATGATGTAAGTAGCGCAATTGCGTCTGACCACGTCAACTCGATCGGCTTGTTACTTTGTTCCTGTAGTACGTCTCGTGATTGCCAGCAGCAGCCCGCTGCGATCACTTGACTTTGTTGAAGTGACGGTGCATACTGAGGACGAGTCAGAGGAACGGCGGGTGCGTTGCAACTTGTTCTGACTCTTATCGCAGGCATGTCTAATCAAAGTTCCCGAATGGAGTTGTTTAACTAAACTAGGTGGCAGTAAAATAACTATGTGCCGATAGTGTGACACTCTTGAGAGTTTCGGTATTGCTATCTCCCATCACTGCACTCCACGACCGACTGCTTTCGTTCTAGTTTGGACTCTTCAGGTAGAACTAGCCTAGGCTGGGAGTGAAGTTCGGTACACAGCGGTCGATGCTGACGCTGTAACTGAGTTTTACTCTGCATTTACAGACTCACTTCAGTTTCCCTTGCTTCCTTTTGCATTTGTCGTTCTTTTTGTCGCGCGACATCTCTCACTTTGATCCAGACATATTGCTCACTCTGACACATTTGTCCTGCTGCGAACTATGCTCAGCGTTTCTAATTTTTCCAACGGAAAAATCAGATCTGCGTTGTGAGATGACTCGGTCATTTCGTGCATCCTTATCAATGACGGACGCACCAACAATAACAGATATACTGTGGGTTCGTATAAGACATTGTACGTGTGACCGATACACAACCTTATACACCTGAACATTACAGGGCCGTGTGACATTGTGCAATACAGTTGTCTACTATGTCTACGCATGATGATCATACGACGGTTAGGTGGTTCGATCAGATTAATTCGCCGAAAAGTAACTTGGACTGATCGGTAGTTGCGTTTTAAGAGCTCCTCCCGGTACACTGCAAATTCTTTCATACGTGCACCATCTTACTTAGCCCGTATGATCTGCACCCTGGACACGCTATAGCCGCAATTCAACGGATGTCCTTTGCTTTTCATAAAGTGCCTCAGTAACATAACTAAACGTGGTTACGTGCCAGCAGACCGAACGAACTCACTGTGAAACGAATTAGTGCTTCAAGGAAAAGAGCGTACACTGCAGCAGAACTACGGTCGTTTACGTCGACGAGACCTTAACTTATGTGTTCGATGAAGGCACTGACGAGGCAGTGCGCATCACATTGTCTACAGAATTTCATCTTTGGTTACCTATAAAGCACACTGCGTACTTTTGGTGTCAAAATCAATGACCAAATCTCCAAGTGGCTGCGCAGCCAGTTGAAGTCCGTGTAGACGAAATCAGGTAATTCCAGGAGCCTAGCTACCTCGACAGTAACAAAATATTTGCTGCGCATTGACCACCAAGTTGACCTCGTCCTGGTGTTCATTCAACGGCTCTCCATGCTCCGGCTGTTGATCCAGAGCACCTACCGCTGTACTTTCAAAAATAGCTTACTTTGACTCTAAACTTGCCTTGGCTATTCAAAGTGCGTCATCAGGCCACCGTTTGTTCATCTTCTGTTCTCATCAAATGAACCTGATTCGATGTCGGGCCCATGGCTTTAAAGGTCACAAGCCTGCCTGCTAGTCCGAGAGTTCGGGTTCGAGCCTGCGTAGGGAACCGGGCGAACTTCGCAATATATTTAGCCCACGCGCGACTGTTAGTGGTTAGGCAGCAGCGAACCGTCAGTACTGCATACCGCCATACTTCTGATGCCCTTACCTTTTTTATCTGCTTCGATATATCTATCACTGGTTGTGTGTTTGTGACTGATATATATCCACGATGTGACAGACTTCTCACAGTTTATGTCTTTTGATTCTCTTGTCTGGAATTGATAAAATATCCCAGGGGTACACATCAGAACAAATGTTAGCGAACAAGCTCGAATGAATGACGTAAACATAAACAACCGATAAGGGTACAGTCGAACCATTTTCCTATTTGGACGTTTATTCTCATCTGTTGTTTGCGCTTATGTCAATCATTCATGATGTATTAGCCTGATGACGAACCACCGCAAACGAGCTTATTCGCTAACATCGTTGTGTTGTCTTGGATTCTAGGGTAAGCTTTCTGTTTATCGTCGTCTTATTTTGCCGCCCGTCACTCCGCCATTGTTTCCTCTGCGTTTTAGGCGAAGTCCATCCATTTGACTTCTCAAGCATTTACCATTGACAATGGTCTCCTCACGCCAACCCTCAAGATTGCACGTTATCGTGCTCGAGAACAATTTCGACAGACTATCAAGAATCTCTACACTGAAGGGGAACTTGTAACTTGATATCGTTTTCTTGACTTCTCTTGTTAAAGCAATGTTCCCCGGTCACTCGTGTTCTTTCGGAATCCTCACAGTGTTTGACAGTGTGTTTTTTCATTTTGATTACGCCCCGCATTTCGACAACCGGAGCATTCGTTCCATTTTTTCCATTTTTGTTGCGCGTCTTTCGACATTCCAAGTCTTCATATGCATGCCTATTTTTGTGAGTCCCTCCCCCTACAGAAACACACGCGACTTTTCCATCTCATCTTTGCACTCCACCTCCAAAAGGCTGTGTCCCGCTTCTCTGCTTCCACAGCCCTTCAAGATATCCTCATGTATATCCCATTTTTTCCAACTTGTTTATGTACTGCTGTGCCCGTGTTTCTACATGACAGTTGGTGTGGACAACCAGTTCTTTTGCCTCATCGGTGGTACATCATCTATTGAGGCCGGATTGTTGACGGAACTGATTAATAATGAGGTGCTTTCTACTGGGTTTTTCTCAGTTGATAAGCTGGATACATAAAAATAGCCCCTGCTTACTCCACCTCTTAGCTCACAGCTTCTATCAGATTCCTCACCACTGAATGTAACCTCTGGCCTTCCAGGCTGGAGTCTATGTGACTCGCCTTGTGTTTGGCTCTAGACTCTACGGGACATGACTCGCAGTCGAAACCAGTAGCGCGTCTGCTGCCTGTTTAAAGTGTATTTTGTACTGAGTCATCTTCGGCTGATTATGACGCGGGGCAGTGAAAGCCGCAAGGAAGCTGCCTCGCCGATGCCGCCTTATCTTTGCACGCTATCCTGCTGTGTGACGGTATGTTGTTGACACAAGGTGTAGGCGCCTTAAAATTGTTTTTTATGCCATTAAGATTGCACGCTAAGTCATCCCTGTTATTTTTCGTTACTTAGGTCACCGTGATTGTACGGCAGTGAAGCATCAGTTCAAATGGCTGATGTTGATGATGTATGTTGCGTTCCCGCGGTTCACAATCTTCGAATTTGTTGGATACCTCTACCATGATCATATAACGTTGTTGAGATTCTGCCATAAGGAGTGTTGCTTTTGCATAGCAGTGATTGGTGGTCGTTTAGTTTTTGGTTACCTATCGTGTGTTTAGAGTACTCGGCTTTAATCTCTGGGTCCAATTGAATGGTTGGATAGCCAAAATGGATGATCGGGGTAGACATCGGTTTTCACTTTAGCTGTCACTGAACCAACACGGGCACCACGACCTATTTGCACCGCGACGCTCGTCACTAGTGTGAATCCCAAATAATAAATCTGGACGGTGTTGTATCTCAATACGCACACTAGGCCCCTGCGCAAGCAGGGTCTTGAATCACTACGGCCGAACCCACTAACGAAAGCAGAACAAGGGGCGGACACGCTCTGGACACTATTCAATAAAGTGTGACAGATAAGGTACAGGCGGAATGACCTTGATATTGATCTATCGATGACGCTCATGCAATCATTTGCAGACTGCGTGCGTAGCGTGATAGACATGACTGGAAGTTGCGGTGGGCGCTGTAATAGACGGAAGCCACAACGGATTCGGACCCGGGCCACACTCACCCGCTGCATCTGATAGTGCACTCGAGAGGCACGCAAGCCAGTGAACGAACCGTAGCCCATCGCTCTTTGAACTTGGCACTTTCGCCTGTACTGTACACCGGAACCAGTAATTGCGGTAGCAGGGTCGTTTGAGCAGACACACCTTGTCAGCATTCGCATCGAGCATAGGTTGACCTAACGAAGTATTCGAGGTTACTTGTCTAGCACACATCACTCTGCTTGGAGAGACAGAGTAAAGCATATGACCATTCAGCCGCGGCACTCGCACAACGGGGATGTACAGCCTTCTGCAGTTAACTAATGCGTTTGCTAGCGTTGACGAAATCGCATGCTTAATGCGACCTGTCTGTGGGATCTAGTAAAGATGAAGAAAATGGAATCAGTTCAGTTGAAAAACAGTGATCCGTACACTGAACTGCAGTGGATCCAGTTACCAAGACTCGCTTTGCCAGAATAACAATAACTGAAAACAGTAAGAGAATGAGGCTGAATGCTAATAGAATGCAAGGGAAATGGGATAAAGAAAGAAGTACGCAATACTATTCGAGGTGGTATGAAGTTTAACAGCTAGATGCACGAAACCGAATGCAAGAGTGCCACTGACTGCGCCATGTCTGATATGTCTGCAACCGCTGGTGTGGATAATCTCGGAGCCCCCATCCACCAAGAGCACGCACCATCCTGTGCAAGTCTCTGTGGTGGTAAGATACCACATCTATCATGCTAGTTGTCTATCGAACGGGTGATGTGAAGGAAAATGGGTCTGAAAGCTGTTTGATCGCCGCCAGTCAAGCAGCAACACCCACACGTGTGCGAGAATCGCCCTATAAGCCCGCACGACCAATTAGATCGATCGATGCTAGGTTCCCGCCAGCGGCAGCTAATCAAGGAAGAACAAATGGGAATCGCTCAACTGAACGTAGTCTGCCCAATAAATAATATCTTGCCTTCTGATCGCAGTCCAATGTTCTGATTTTCGGAGGTCTACCACGACAGTCCCAGTCAATCTTTTCCTGTGTTTATGCCACGTCATGGACTGACTATCTCGCGCTTTCGCCCAGCTCGATGCCGAGGAAGGCGGTCAACGGGCACACGGAGGACATGACTTAACCAAGTCCGTCTACTCATCAGTAAGCAAAATCTAAGCCATACCAGTCTTCAAAATTTTGTGTGGATTCACGGCACTGGCAAAGGAAGACCTGATTCGGAGGGCCAACCACTGTCCTCTGCACGTGCAGTAATCTGCATGGCGGTGGAGGATGAGTCGGGCTATATGCAGTTAGGTTCAAATTCGTCATGGTCGGCTGCCGTCCTCAGTGGCATAAGCTGCTGGCTAGGTGGCGTTAGCCTCCAGCGATCATGGGTTCGATCCCCAGTAGGGAACCGAAGGATGCGCACCATTGACAAGCCCCAATAGGGCGAAACGCCCGTCTGATACCTTTACGGATTGATAGCTCACCTATGCAGCTTGGAATCTAATTGCGATGAATCAAATTGAAGCAAGCGGCAGAGTTTAACTCTTTGTGTCCTGGTGGTACTTATAACTACCACTTTGTTTAAATTGTAATACTGCTTCAGAGCAAGCGTCGTTCCTGCCGGTACTCGCGAGAATACGTACATTATCCTTCTGTCAACAATTAAGCAAGGGTCAGAACTCCCATCCTTTGCTCTACAGTGTTTGGAGTAAAATTTTGTGGTTCATGTCGAGCTATAAGTAAATTAATTCAGGACTCAAAGGGTTAAGCAAGCACTGGAAGAATCAACGTGCCCGACAGTCGTGTTGCCTACATGCGTCAGTCGAGACTCAATCCAAACGTTCCTGTCACTTACGCATGAACTTTAGTATCGTGGCGCACGATTTTCCGGGTGTCGGATTGCTCTTCGGTACTGATCAGAATTCTGTTATTTATAAACACAATGGTCTCTTGTGTATTATATAAGTTTTAATAGTTGTCTAAGTGCAGCGAATTTCAATGGCTTGCCATTATTGTCCGTAGTACGTTATCCGCCTGAGCTCGTTGATCCGCGGTCGGTGTTAGTTCGCTGCTACTACATCTGCTCAATGCCTTCCTTGTCTGAGGCTAACTTGGGCAACTTTCCTGCTACGTTGCATCAATGCAATTATGATTATGTGAACGGCAGTTTCATGAACTCCCATACACCGTCTTCATCTTCTTGCTGTTCTCCCAGTTGTCCAGCCACCAGCACATTCTGTACCGTCTGCTCAGGCTCGCATGAACGCTAGTGATTTACAGAAGATGCTACCCAGACCAATCTACATCTCTATATATGGAATAAAGTTATGCTTGTCTTAACTTCATCAATGTCCATCTGGTCCATGCAATCACGATCAGCCCGCACAGACAGCGCTTCAGTAACACTCTATCCAATGGCTTGGCACCCGCACCGATTTACCATCGCACCAAGTGCGAGCCGTCCCACCGCTAAGGTGGGAATAGTAGTCGTCACAATTCTTCTTGCTATCCGATCCCCATATGAACCCCGCTTGTTAGACTCGGGATCAATCCTACTAAATGGAGTGTCGGTGCACCCGTGGATATCCGGGAAGGACAATTCCGAGTTTGTGCAACTGGGCGCTTGATTCGGCCACATATCGTCCGAATGCACGCACATTTTCTGGCGATCCTGGTGCTTAGGCGTGAGTGATGTATACGCACTTTTTGTTGGGTGTTGCGGAACGTGTTGACGTTTCGGTTTTAGCTGTTCATGCCAATTGCACGCGTCTAGCTGTTCCCACCCGCAGTGGCAAGGATGAACTATCCCTGCTAACGCACCTGCTCCAATCTCTAGTGCCTATTAAGGCACGCAGTGGGTTTCGACAAATCTTTTTCGTCGGGGGATCACAGCACGAAATTCAGTCATTTGTTGGATGACAGGGACCGCCTCCTGTGCTAATCCTTAGTGAGGATTGGCTAGAAGTCGTTCAGAAATTCATTTACCTTGGCAGTTGTACCAGCGGTTGTAGGATTGAAGAAGAGTTCACAAATCGTATTGCAAATACCCGAGGCGCTTTTGCTAACGTTCGCCACCTATGGCGCCCTCGACATCACTCTCTCTGAAAGGTAGAGTTTACAGTGCTGCCGTACGTTCGACCCTACTGTACGGTTGTGAAACTTGGTTCTTTAGATCGGCAGACATAAAGGCTATTTATATTCAACCACCAGTGTCTTCGCAGTTTGGCTCATGTCTGGTAGAAACACCGTGTGAGCAATGAGCGTGTTCGACGTCGTGTATTTGGTACAGGAAGAGCGAGTGAACCGCTACTCACCGTTAGATCACGCATCAGGCTTCGATGGCCACGTGTTGCGCATGCCACCGTACCGACTCCCGCGACGTACGTTGTTTGCGCTCCGCGAGTGTGGATGGAAGAAGAGGAGGGGATGATAAGCGATGACTGGGTCAAGAAAAATAAAGCGCTTTTTTCAAAGTTGGCCGCAGTTGGAGCATCTTGGCTCCGTGGCTGGGTCCGAAGGCGATGAACATGTCTAGGTGGATACGTTTGTTGACATGCCTAAGAGCCGATCTCAATGACGATTGTGTTGTTTCTTTGTCCCCCCCCCATCCAACTGCGATCTCATGTCCTAGGTATAATATAATTCTTTTTTGCGTCACAATAGCTGGCTCTTCGTTGCGATGCCCATCCGTTAATGGTGGATCAGCTGGCGTGCCTCTGTTGCATGTGCTTTTTCGTTTTAATTTTCGTTTATATTGCAGCACAGTAGCTGGGGTCTTACCCACCTATAGCTAACATGTATAGTGATGAGGATGATCTGAACTCTTAATAACAGATCATACTAATAACGATGATTATAGTAATGCTCATCCTTGATCGCCGGAGACATGCCGTTTTCCGCATGATCGAATTTTGTCAACTGGTTTGTAATTCATGTGTATGAAAAAAAGCACTTGATTTTTTATGCAGCATTGTATAGTCTCGGAATTCCGCTATC